AGGCTTCTGTTTAAGAAAGAGACCTGTTTTACTGTGTTAATGTTGTCATTTTGAGCTAAAAATAAATGGCTAAATGATCATTTGTTTCCCATATGGTCATATCACAAAGAATATGCATCTGCTTAAATCAAATTCAAGTCAAATGGTTAAAAAATAATTTCACACACACAAAAAAAAGAGCGACAAAATTCACCACACTGGGAAGGGTGAACTGGGTTGCCTGGCCCTGGCCACGAGGTGTCCCTTATTTATTTTTCAGGGAGTTGGCAACCCTAGTTAGCAGGCCACAACCAGGCTCCACCATCAACCAGCAGGCCACCAAGCCAGGCTCCACCATCAGCCAGCAGGCCGCACAGCCAGGCTCTACCATCAGTTAGCTGGTCCAGCCAGCAGACCACAACCTGGCTCCACCATCAGCTAGCTGGTCCAGCCAGCAGGCCACAACCAGGCTCTACCATCAGCCAGCAGGCCACAACCAGGCTCCACCATCAGCCCACAGCCAGGCTCCACTATCACCTAGCAGGCCACAACCAGGCTCTACCACAGGTCTACCGGGTCTATCTATCAGTCAGCATGTTATCCTCAGTAGCCTTTTTTCCTTTGTTGCTTTTATTGACAGATTTTTGTCTACATGAGGTGCAGGAACAGTCTGTGGAGCAAGAGACACCATACTTCTTACTCCTCTCAAAGGGAACAAGGTGGGATTTTACATCTTTTAGAAGCTTCTCAAACGTGATCATCAGCAGAGATCTCATTTCAACTGATTTAACTGATTTATTCATTCCATATCACTGGTTTATTTCCCAATCCTCTCATCCCCCCAAAGAGATTGGGCACTAAGAGAAATCAGTCTGTAATCCTACAAAAAAAATCTGTGAAAAGAAAATGTTTTATTGTTCTTCTGCTTCTTTTATCTGGAAATGTGCAACCTAATCCCGGTCCAGATTGCAAATGCTTAAGTACTCCTTGTGATTTTAAAACTCAGAAGTCTTCTTCCCAAACTTGATTTTGTGAAAATTTGGATGAAAGAGTTAGATACTGATATTCTTATATTATCAGAAACCTGGCTTACTAAATCAATTACTGACAAAGACATTGCAATAACGGGCTATAATCTTTTCCGTTGCGACCACCCCAGAAAGGGTGGCGGTGTTGCAATTTATATAAAAAGCAAATTCCATGTTACTGTCGATTCATCGGTATCTGTTTGTAAACAGTTTGAACTTCTTGCCCTCAAGCTCCAACTTTTCAAGGGCTATTTTATTACCATTGTGGGCTGTTATAGATCCCCCTCAGCTAGTAGTGAGGCTTTAGTTTCACTTAATGAACAACTATCTACTTTAGATTTTAATGAAATTGTGCTGGCCGGAGATTTCAACTGGGACTAGTTGTCCTCTGCCTCAGACAGTTTTAAATCCATGTGTGATTCATATAATCTCACACAACTAATTTACAGCACAACTCGTCCAAATCTTAAATGCCCAGAAAAGTCATCACTTATTGATTTATTTTTAACTAATATGCCGTATAAATATTCTCACACTGGGGTTTTCGCAAATGATATCAGTGACCACTGTGTGGTAGCTGTAGTCAGACAATCGAAGCTCCTAAAATCAAGGCCACAAATAGTTTTTAAACGAGATTTTAAGCATTTCTGTGAGCAAGCTTTCTTTCATGATTTATGGGACTATAACTGGAGTAGAATCTACCTGACAACTGATCTTGAGCTGGCATGGAATTATTTTTATGATACTTTTATCAAAATTATAAATAAACATGCCCCCATCCGCAAATTTAGAGTAAAATGCAGAAACAACCCTTGGTTTTCTCCTCAGCTCTCCAGTCTACTCAAAAAAAGGGATGCTGCCTGGGCTAAGGCCAGAAAAACTAAATCCGAAGTGGATTGGCTGATTTTTAGACAGCTCAGAAACTGTTCTACTTCCTTAATTAAAAAGGCCAAATCAGAATTCTATCTTTCAAATACTACTAAACATTTGAACGATCCTA